TACAGGGTCCACAGGTTCAAAGGAATGTTGAAAAGATAATTGTATGCGTCGGGATTAAGTTCTTGAAGTCGCTGTTTTGTCTGTCAAAACTTTTGCTTCGACAATTGCAAACCCAACTCCCAACACCAATCCCGAATTTTCTTACTCCTGAACCGAGTCACCACGTTGCTTCGAAGGTGTCGAAGGCAAATCCGGTGATACGCAGCGGGTTCTTGCCAATTCGGTAATGATTCAATCGCACTGAGTAGACCCACATCCCTGTCAGAAAGAACGCATATCTGTCTGTCGAATACAACATATCGCCGCAGATTCCTAAGGAAAAATGACCAACTGCCCGTGCTTTCTTCGTCGACAAGCGCATACGCGATTGGCAATAGCCGCTTATTCGCAGTCTGTGCTACGGCCACGAGCAATTTCCCTTTGTAATGTCCACGTAAATGTGTGCCATCAACGCTAATAACCGGCGGGCACATTTCGAAGGTTCGAATCGCGGGACCAAACGCCCAGAACACATATTTAAATTCTTTGTCTGGAACGTGTCGGGCCACATCACCACCCTGAAATTCCCAATCTACAGCTGTGTTGGGATTCGCTCTTTGAAGCGCGGCAAAATATCTGTACAATTCAAAACAATTTCATAAATAAATAAATATACTGACAGAAAAAAAACACGTATATTTGTAATTAATTTTTTCTTACTGAGGGAGTTCTGCGAAGTTCGACTCCCAACTGCCGTACACATACTCGATTGCTTTTTTTCTGCCGTGCCATGCCTTCTTGTAACTGACGTCGACTTTCCAACACTGCTTCACATCAGCCTGGACCATGTTAACGTTGTACTCGACTTTCTTCTGAATCTTATTCATTATAAGATTCGCAATCATATGGGCAGTCACGTTTCTGTGGTCATTTCTGTCGACCTGTTGCATGCAAGTGTGTTGGTCAGTCCATTCAGTTACGACCCACAAATCATCATGCCGTCTGGACTTAATCACCCGAGCCTTCCACAGACAAGGCACATCTGCATCTGCATTCAATTTGCAGACCAGTTTGAATGTCTTCTGATTTGAATCTTTTGACCGAACCTCCCGCAACCTATCGACGTTCCAAGCGATTAGACCCGTTTGGGCTTCTCGCTTGCTCCGAAAAACTGTACCCAAACGTATGGTCTCAATGTCGCCATTCCACCGTGGAATAGCATACTCGTTCGCATCTATCCTGGACGGGTCCCATTCACCCATCGCGCGGTATATGTGCCGACCACCAATAGGAAATGGGTGTTCTTCTTCCATGAACTCGGCTTCACTCTCCTCATTAACCGATCTATCTGATTCGGTTTCTGAGGTCTCGTCTGTGAAGTCATCTTCACCAGGAATAAAATCTTCATCGTCCTCATCCGCCGCCCATTCTCTCGATGTCCCTTCTCCAAAATTAGGTACATAAGAAGTCGATGTACCCTCGACATCAAACACTCCCCCGTAACAAGGAGTAAAATCCTCAAACTGTGTAACAGGTGTATTTGCCTGCAACGATAAATGCAAATACACCATAGACATACTAGGAAAGTAATAAATCCATTCAAAACTATCGTTATTGAGTATTGCAGGATTCCACGAACCATCAGGTTGGCTAATCATCATAGTAATCTCCTGAATTATCCAACCTTCTTCAAACTGACATTTTTCATTAATCATCTGTACCAACTGTTCATATGATATCCTCCCCGGAATTATAAATGAACCACTCGGACGATCTTTAAATGAAACAAAATCGTTTAACATTTCCTTCCCAAAATGCCAGTACAAATTAACAAGGTATGGACCGGGACCGGGATATGCCATTTTATACCTGTTGCAAATAAACACTTTCAATTCTTTTTCAAAAAAACTCAATTTTTACTCTCCAACAAAAAATAAAAAATAACAAAAATAGCCCCAATCAAATAATCATCCAAAACCATTAAACTCATAATCCAACAATAACATAAAATTCATCTATAATTCGGATAAATTTAAACCCCTAATTCTAACCCTAATTTCGGAAAACCCTAATCCCAACAACAACAAAACAATACACAATTGACAATTTACACACAAAATTTCAATCCTCAATTCAACATACATACATAATCCATAATCAATTAGCAATTTTCAATCTTCTAATACCACCACATTCAAACATATTATACCAATCCTCATTTTATAAACAACTTCAAATAATGTAAAAAGTAAAGATAAGACAATATACCTAGTGCGAATGAATTAACCGGAAATGAGACTCGTGCCGGTGTTGTCGGTTCACACCGGGATGAAGATTGG